GAGTGTAGCCTCACCTTGTACCAACAGGGGAATCAGGGGTAGGCTACAAGCAGCTCACCATGAGCCCAGCAGTTGGGTCATTCATCTCATTATATTTGGGTGGGATAGAGTTTATGCACAATGATATTGTGATTAGGTATAGTCGATCCATAGTCTTTGTAATGTGCAATGGGCCCACTGTACCCAATCAAATAAAATCACACAGGTAAAGACCTGTTGAAGTTTGTGTGGTTGGGTACTGTTGCAGCAAGAGTACTGTTGAAGTTTGTGGGATTGGGTACTGTGAGGTAAGGGTGTTTTTCCAAGGTGTTGAAGTTTGTGTGATTGGGGAAGGTTAGGTCCAGCAACCCTTGGGCAGTTAGGGTTAAGGGCCAAATTAAGAAAAGCCATTTAGTACTCACCAATTTCTGTCGTTTGACATAAAAAGTTGTTAGTGGTTTTTGAAAATGCTCATTAGTTGACCAATATTCCAGCAAGCCAGTGTAGGCCCAAGTCAGGCCACACTTCATGGAAATTGCTGTGCAATCACCGCGTTCGATATTTATAACTAAGGATGGTTGGCCCTAAAGATATTGTATACTGGAGGAGATCCTTTTTGAATTTGTTCATGAAAATTGGGTAATTTTGAATTCTGTCATTTGGAATTGTCGTTTGAATTTGCATATCGACGGCTTTGTACCAAGCAGGTACATGTACATTCCAGAATGATTTACAGCTCCATCTGCTTTGGGCAGAAACAAATGCTGATAATCGCTTTTTCATACATTATGTTGATATCTTTATACATTTTGCTGATATGAGTTGCTGTTCCGCGTCACCAGTTTCGGGCGGGAACAATCGCTGACAATGGCTGATTGCCATAGTACTGTTACAAATCGGTTGTAATATAATTGTATTTGTGCACATATTATCTACGCTGGGTGAGGCCTCCCAAGTTCCTTTCAGTCTTCAGGTATTGTGTACTGGGGTAAGGCACAGACTTCTTTTGTCAATACATTTGCACAGTTTCTCACATAGTTTCCATTGATAATCAGTCAGGCAGATCGCGTTGACTGTATAAAAGCCAGTAGCACTAGCTTGGGGTGTGGTCATTTTGCCAAAGCCAACTGGCTTGGTCGGAGGAACTCATCGGCTTGGGGTATCTTTCCTACATTCGTGCAGATAGTCTCTGTAAATTTATTTACTTTTCCTCCCCCAAATTTCATTTGGCCTTGTTTCTTTTTTTGGTTGTGTGCACATTTGTGCCTATTGCCTCCAGCCCCTAGCACCACTTCATCAAATTTGTGCCGGCTTGTTTTTATGTTTAACTCTAACCCAGTGCAGTTATATCGGGCCACGCCCTTACGTTGTTTAAACACTACACAACCTTTTCCTACATGTACATACTTTCCTCCTTCTTTATAATTGTTAAAGCGGGGCTGATATTCTTCCGATAACTTGTTTCATTTCCACAGTTTATTTC